GAAGCAGCCCTAACTGCTGCTTAAACACTATTTAAATAGCTCACAACTAAGCGGCAGCCAATAGAATTAAAGCAATATTTCCCTCTTAAAGGTAAGCTGATTAACATGTAGACAGTCAGTCTGGAGCTTAAACAGGTGCAGCCCTTTGGCCATTTCCAACAGTTTCCAAGTAAATTAACCTCAATACATAACAGTATATTTAATTGCTATTGAATAATTCAGTTCCTTTATAGCAGGGCTTTTCAACCAGTGGTATGGGTACCACCTGTGGTACATTGGCACCTGGCAGGTGGTACGCGACCATCCTGGGGGGGGGGGGAATGAGCTGAACAGGTGGCAGTACCGCACAAGCCTGAGCGAGAGATGGCTGGAGCTGCAGGGCTGTCAGGGCTCAGTGGAAGCACCAAGATTAGCACCAGGCTCCAGCTGGAGCTCGGCACTGATCCTGGTGCTTCTGCTGAGTCCTGAAGAAGCACCAATCAGCTGGAAAGCAGCACTGATCCTGGCACTTCTGCTGAGCCCAGAAGAAGCACCGATCAGCTGGAATTTTGCAGCATCTCCAGGGTCTTGTGATTTACATTTAGATGCTTGGCAATTGATTCATATTTGTTACAATCACAGTGTCCCAGGGTCATGTAAAGTGACCACAACCTGCTGCAACCACCCAGCAGATAGGGGGAATAAAAACCAAACACCCCCCCACTCCACCCCCGCTGCCAATCCTCAACAGAAATGCTCACAACAATGAAAACCTCGGACAGGAGGAAGAGTGCCACCAGGCGGGCAGGCATCTTGCTCGGTTGTGGCTTGGGGGGCATTTTTTTCAGGGCCATTGTAACTTCAAACAGTCACTAAGCGAACTGTTGTAAGTTGAGGACTACATGTACTTTATCACTTTTCCCCCTTTTTTTGTCATCAAGTTTTTGACACCTTGCTAGGCGACTGGTGGTACTCGGATGTTGCCATATCCTAAAAGTGGTACTATGGGTGAAAAGGTTGAAAAGCCCTGGTGTAGAGAGTGGTGAGATGGCAGAAAAGATTACTGGTAGTTCACTTCCTTCTATCTAGGACATAACATATAAGTGCTGCTTGAATCAGATCTGCAGTATTATCAGGGATACTACACATTGTGTCCATGACCAGTTTTTCTTATTACCTTCTGGAAGGAGACTTCATGGTATCCAAAGCAGAACATCTAGATTCAGTCACAGCTTTGTTCCATATAGTGTCAACCTTGTGAACATTCAAGGTTTCTTTTTCCGCTATGTATTCAAAATGGACAGTGATTACTATGTATGTATGTATACACACACACACACACACACACCCCCCTATATATATGTATGTATGTGTATGTGTGTGTGTGTGTGTGTACGTATGTATATAGCATGTGTATATGTGTGTTATATATCGGTATGGGTATACATATATTTTTTGAGAGCGGGAAACAGATTTTCATTTTTATATGTGCCAATGTGCTCACAGTAAAAATGACAATAAAGGTTATCTTATCTAAAAAAATGTAGTTTGGACTGGACAAATATGCCAAGTTTACTATCAAACAGGGAAAAATAGTGAAAACTGATGGAATCAAGATGCCCTATGGAAATAACATCAAGATCTGAATGAAGATGATCATTATATATACCTGGGCATTTTTCAAGCTGACAACATTTAAAAAAAGGCTAGAAGTGAATACATGAAGAGGCCTTCAGAGATAATGAGTATCACCTGAGCGGTGCCATACTTCATATGAAAAAAATGGAAACTGTTGGGAAAAAAAGTAGGCTGCTCAAATGGATAGTTGGATAGTTCAACCAGTTAAATATAAGAATACTACCTCATTTTGGCACTTTTCCAAACGTTTATCTCAGAATGTGTAGGGTGCTATGCACCATAGTGAGCCCACTGAATTAATTTATTTTACACATCTACACCTAATTACATGTTTATCTGACTTGTGTCCCTTTCCAAAATCTCCATGAACTTTTATTGCAACTGAAGAATGGAAAATCCACAAGATGGTGGGGAAATCTTATCCCATTAGAACATCTAAAGACATTTTAAGAACTTCTGGTGGCATCATCTCAGTGGTGCGGGGGAAGGTGAATGGCTCCTGTTCCCAGAACCCGATTATTTCACGTTTTGGGGACCTTTTGGGGCGCAAGGAGCCTGGAGGGCTCGGTGGACTAGAGGGGAAGTCCAGAGTGCAGCATAGTGAAAGGCGATCACTTGCTGCAAAGAACGACATCCCTGTCAAACTAACGTGAAAGTATCTGCCGTTGTGCTATGGTGGACCCGAGGCTGCAATGATCCAGAGAGCACAGGGAAGAGAATATTTTTATAGCAGACTGTGACATTTGAAGTGGAGATCAGTCTGAAAACCGCAAGGTCGAGGATTGCTTAGAAAAGTGAGTCCTGATTGTTTGGCTAAAAGAGATCTCCAGCTGGGGGAGCGGGTGGCGTCTCGGCAGGAAGAGCAGTGATTCAGCAGAATATTTTCAATTGCTAAAGAGGCGAAGAGGAGGAAGGATAAAAGAGTTTGAGTCAGTCCTGTGGTGGTGAGACAGGTAGATTTTTTGGTCAGAAAGCCCTGGTTTATAGTACTCCTTTTCATGCTTATGACCTGAATTCTTGCAAAGATCTAGAGTAAGTTAATTACATTCTTGGTATACTGTAGTGCATGGCTTTTCAACCTTTTCACCCATTGTACCACTTTTAGGATATGGCAACATCCGAGTACCACCAGTCGCCTAGCAAGGTGTCAAAAACTTGATGACAAAAAAAAGGAAAAAAGTGATAAAGTACAGGTAGTCCTCGACTTACAACAGTTCGCTTAGTGACTGTTTGAAGTTACAATGGCACTGAAAAAAGTGCCCCCAAGCCACAACCAAGCAAGATGCCTGCCCGCCCGGTGGCACTCTTCCTCCTATCCGAGGTTTTCATTGTTGTGAGCATTTCTGTTGAGGATTGGCAGCGGGGCTGGGGTTGGGGGGGGGTGTTTGGTTTTTATTCCCCCTATCTGCTGGGTGGTTGCAGCAGGTTGTGGTCACTTCACATGACCCTGTGGCACTGTGATCGTAATAAATATGAATCAATTGCCAAGCATCTGAATGTAAATCACAAGACCCTGGAGATGCTGCAAAATTCCAGTTGATCGGTGCTTCTTCTGGGCTCAGCAGAAGTGCCAGGATCAGTGCTGCTTTCCAGCTGATTGGTGCTTCTTCAGGACTCAGCAGAAGCACCAGGATCAGCGCCGAGCTCCAGCTGGAGCCTGGTGCTGATCCTGGCGCTTCCACTGAGCCCTGACAGCCCTGCAGCTCCAGCCATCTCTCGCTCAGGCTTGTGCGGTGCTGCCACCTGTTCAGCTCATTCCCCTCCCCTGCTACTTTTCTAGGATGGTCGCGTACCACCTGCCAGGTGCCAATGTACCACAGGTGGTACTCGTACCACTAGTTGAAAAGCCCTGCTGTAGTGGTCATGTCAATTCTGTTTTGCCACGATCTACAGCAATTGCAAGAGAAATATGCTGAACCTGCCAAAAGCATCTGATTTTTTGGAACTGTTTACTATGATATATAAAAGGCAATGTTAATCTTTAACAATGTCTTTTTGCCTCTAAAAAGAGTTATTTAGTAACTTTCTCCATATCCCATGCTACAATAGAGAGTGCTCCCATTTTCTACTGCTTATGTCTAAATATTTTGAATTATTAGCAGTTTGCTTGTTACAACCGCTGTCAATAAATTTCCCTTCTCAATAGCGGTTATATCAACTGACAAAGTGAGTGAATTCACTGTGTGCTTGGAAATTTGTTGTGCTGGTTACACATCAGGAAACATTGCTTTTTTGTTTGATTTTTGTTTGATTTTTCCTATTAACAGTAAGTTTGTTAATGTCTTCTCTTTTTCTTTTGCATATGCATTTCTTTGCATTTCTTTGAATGCTCACCTTTCAGTTATGTTTTTATCTTCAGAAGTACCACCATCCTTTTAGAAACTCTCATATTTTTTTTCATAGTAGACAGAAAATCGAAGGACTCCTGATATAATGCCAATTATTCTTGAGGTCCATGACAAGATTAAGACAACAATATAAGAGAGCACAACATCCTTGGCTATATTTGTGATACATTTCAACTTTTGTTCAAGACTGCTTTGGCATGACTTCTCTGTGAACAACTCTATTTTCACCAGCTAAAAACCTTATTAGAACATAGAATAATAAAAGAGACCTTGGAAGTCTTCTAGTCCAACTATAAAGTGTAAATTACAGAGATTACAATGAAAAATTGTTCTTTGACCTATAGCAGCAGTTCTTTGGGTAGTAATGTGTGAATTCACATAGTCCAAACTTTGTCATTACTAAAATGCCTATTTTATTAAATTGTCATTAAAAGCATCTAGTGGATCATAGAACATATGAGAATAGTGGGAATTGCATTTAAGCATGCATACTTATATATAGGAGTGGAATTCCTATCTAAAAACAAGGCACCAGCCTTTAAAACAAGAGATCATGAGTTCAAGTTTTGCCTTAGCCATGAAAGCCAGTTGGGTGACCTTGGGCCGGTCAGTGCAACTCACCTTATAGGTTGTTGTATGGAAAATAGGAGATAGAAGAACTGTTGGATATGTTTACCACCTTGAGTTGTTTGTAAAAATAATAAAGGGATATTTTAAAAAAACAAGATCTTAGTTCGGGAAGATACTGAATAGGATACTGTAAAGATTTGCACATGGCTGCTTAAAAATTACTTATACTGTATTAGAATCCTGCAATATATGCTCTATTATTTGTTTATATTTAATATTTTATGTATTAAGCTTTTAAACTATTTTTAGCTTTAAAACTAGATCTTACAAGTTGACTGAAAAAAATATTTTTGTATCATAATAATATTGAGTCTCAAAATTGTTTAAGCTTACTATATTTAACTGTATCAAGCTAACCATATTTAATAAGTGACAAGCGTATTTGTATTTATCTCGTTTCCACAGATGTATGTGAGGAAAACAATAATAGCAAGCCTGCCTATATCCTTTCATATTCTTGTAAGAATAATGACCAATGTAGGCATCAAGCTGAAAGAAAGCATCAAACGGTATCTTCTACTTTAGGCAGGGATAGCAAGCCTCCTACAACAACAGCTGGTATGTTTGTGCACATCAGCAATAAAAGACATAATTCAAACACTAAATCTCCCAACTCTGGGGAAAAATCAGATCATCCAAACTGGTCTGTAAGGAATAATATAAACCATTCTGAAAAAATAACAGTTTCTATTCAGGATGATAGAAGTAATAGAAGTATCAGAAACTTGGGTCAATGTAATATAGCATTTAAAAATAACCCACATCAATTAAAAACAAAAAGTAAAGAATTAAACAATAAAAAATGGTCCTGGGCTAACTTGAGCAGGCCTGGCAAAGCCTCAGTAAGAACAATGAAAGTTGAAAAGGCTATTTCAAATACTACAGTTACACAGATCAACAAAATGAAAAATAGTGACATCTGTTTGATGGACAAGAATGCAAGTATTACAACAATTGCACTCAACAAGATGGCTAGAGGTGATGCAAACCTGAACAGAGAAACTCTATTAACGTTCAGGAATTCAGAAGATCAGCCTGGTTTTGTTCAGATGCAAGTAATAGAAAAAGAAAGAGTAAGAAAAGAGCTCTTTCAGAGGAAGTATAATGCAGCAAATGTTATTCAAAAGGCTTGGAGAAGGTATGGATGTGGGTAAATTCCTCTACTTTATCTCATTTTAATTACTATTAAAGATTTCATCATGAAGCTTAGCATATATTTAAAATTGTGTTTTGGTATACTTTGAGCAATGTGATGTCAAGTATATATGTAATGCATGAAGTGAATTGGAAGGGATGTAAACAGGTGGAGTAGCTATTGTGTTGTATTTTGCTGATTTGTTTAGTGTTTCTCAACCTGATTTAAACCATCAGTCCCAGAATTCAGGAAGTGATGATTCAGATAAGCACAGATGATAGAACATTGGAAATTGCTTTATTTTTTAACTTGTCATCTTTTTGTTCCCCATGTTAACTTTTCACAATTTCAGATATATTAAACAGTTTTGAAGTATAAGAATATTATATATAGTAATGTGGAAATAAGAAATAATGCAGTGAGCAGTCTTTAGCTGTAGGAATAATTATTTTCATGAAGAAAATAATATTTGTTAGAACTGTCCAAAAGCAGAATTTACAAGGGCCAATGAATGGTTCAGAGAAAAGACAAGAAAGTGAATGAGATTTCACTTATACTCCTGAAATAAATAATTTGACATTATATGAAGAATTTTGTCTCTATTAAGCTTTGGGCTTAGTAATGAGGATATATTTACAGATGAAATTATTATCCGCATATTAAGGAACAGATTTATTATTCATTTTTAAATGTCTTTATATTCTAAAAATAACAGTGTAAAAATATAGAGTTTCTGTAAATTATATGTGTTTTATAAGTTTAATGTTGTATGGATTTATTATTTCTCTGCTTTTCATGTCTTTTATAGTCTATGTAGACAGTGATTGTTATAGATCCCTGAGTTTTTTATATTTGTTTACTGCTTTTAAAAAACATTGAAAATGGGGGAGGGGGTAATCCAATTAAGAGAAAATGTTATTATTGCAAACATTGAAAAAGAAATGATTCATAGAAAAATCTGGAGTTAAAAAGTGAAAAACTAAAATAGAATTTCCCACCTGGTTTTCTCTTTCTAGCTATCAACTAAGAGAACAATTCCAGCAGCATTTTAGCATGAAGCAGCAATGCAAAGATGAATGGCAACAAAAAACAGCTGTCTTGTGCATTAAGGCCATTTGGAACAAAAAGTTAAACTTTACTGCATTAAAAATACTTACTTCAGGCAAAATCCCAAAGGCCATGAAAAAAAACAGCCCAGGAAACAACTTGGTACAGAAGTCAACCACTCTGAAGCAGATATATGGTAATAATACACATCACTAAATACTTATTTTGGGAGACTGAAACTTTTTTTCAGTCACAGTTCTTTTTTCTGTCTGTCTGTCTGTCTGTCTGTCTGTCTGTCTATCTATCTATCTATCTATCTATCTATCTATCTATCTATCTATCTATCTATCTATCTATCTATCATCTCTCTATCATCTATCTGTGTTTCCCCAGAAATAAGACCCGGTTTTATATTTTTTTTGCCTCCAAAAGAGGCATTCGGTCTTATTTTCAGGAGACATCTTTTTCATTGGCTCGCCTTGCAGCGGCAGCACCAACAGCCCCATCCAGAAGGAGGCCTTATGGCTGTCGCTGGCCCACTTCTTTTGTAGCCACTCACTGCCACTCACATGTTTCATCCTTGTCCTCTGTTTTGCTGGCAGAGGCTTCAGAAAAGGCCTCTGAAGCTCAGAATTGAGCTCCGAGATAACGCATGTGTTGCACCCCATCCTCCACTTCACTGGCAGAGGCCTCTTCCTGAAGGCCTCTGCCGGCGAAACAGAGGCCGGGGCACAATGCACATGTCATCCCTGAGCTCCGTTCTCAGATGCAGAGGCCTTTATTGAAGGCTTCTGCTGGTGAAATGGAGGCCAGGGGTGATGCACATGAGCGGCAGCAAGTGGCTGCAAAAGAAGTGGGTCGGTGGCAGCCTCACTGGTTCCTTCTGGATGGGGCTGTCAGTGCCGCCGCTGCAAGGTGAGGCAAGTGTTGGGGCATGGGAGGCCTGGCTGTGGAAGTCCTGAGGTAAGCAGGTGCAGGGGGCATGGGGCAGCTCCCATCCCCCCACCCCTTGATTTTTACCCCTGCGCCTCACCCCACCTTGTGCAACCAGACGGCCTTAACTAGGGCTTATTTTGATGGTAGGACTTATATTAGGCGCAGACGCAAAAATCAAGCTAGGCCTTATTTTTTGGTTAGGTCTTATTTTGGGGAAAACATGATGTCTATCTGTTTATCTCTATCTTCTATCTAGCTATCTAGCTATAATTTATGTATCTAAATATTCTCCTTGAGTTAACAACTGCTAGAATAGCAGATAGAAGTCATAGCCAGGAGCTCCTTTGGACAACTTTGGTGGGTCTCTCAGTTTCTTATTCTTTCTTGAATCAAGAGATGCTAAAGCATGACTCAGGCTCTTGTCATGCCTCAATAAATGGGGGAGGGTGCCATTTATGATTAGTTGGAAATTCTAGTTGGCAAATAATGCAGTAACCCACCTTCTGATTAGCATTAATTTATATTGGTTGCTGATAGATTTCTAGGACCAATTGAAGGTGTTTTATTGGAAGATATCTTCAGGTAGCATTTGTCTACATTATATGGTCTTGCAGTAGTATGCTCAGTGGAGACCCCTGAAACAGCCACCTCCTGAAGGCAGATATAACTTATGATGTCTTTTGGCAAAATGATGAAAACAGGCACTCGTTATTTATTATTATTTTTATTTATTTTATGTTGTCGAATGCTTTTCATTCATTGAGGCATTTGGCATTCATACACTTTGGAAATTTGTTTTATAGGGCACTCACAAGAAGGAAAGGTGAATCACCCAATGAGATTGCCTTCTTCAAAACAGCAATTTTGTGAACTTCAGTTAATATCAGGTACAATTCCAATGTATGTGATTATTGTCTTTATAAATACAATGTTTATAAATATTAGATATGAGGCAAAAGGTACATGCTATAGCAACATCAGAAAAAAAGCCTATTGTAGTGATTACTTGAGCATGCTAGGAAAAATGGCAAATGGATATTGATGAAATGGCTTCCAGATAAGGCCATGTGAGACCTGTAATATGGGAGGATATTTCACTAATCCTAGTGCTAGCTTCTTCAGGGCAGAACTAAAACTAAACACCACATCATATGTCATGCCTTTATATATTGACAGTGTTCATTGAGGCAGAATACTTATAATCACTTTTTTGTTGACTTCTCCCCCTATGCATTTCTTGATCATATAAATAAAATTATCAGCATGAATAAAGAGAATCCCAGTGTAAGGACCCACCCCACTTTGCATCTTAAGAAGACAAAACTCTTGGAATAATTCTTCCAACAGGAATCCTTTATTAAGAAGAAGTGGTTGCAGGCGTGCTAGACAGGACTTGGGGTCCAAGCCCTCCCATTCAAGGTTTTAAGGGGTTCCCCAGTAGTCCCACCCAATCAACCCCCCTTCCAGTGATAGTTTCAGGTATCACAATTCCTCCCCTCTGCTCCTTTCTTCCGTCTGGATGGAGACTTCAGATAAACTACATGAAAGGCAAATAACCTTCTTTGTTATGGTAAGGTTCTTTGGTGCTAACTACATCCTTTGAAGTTGCAATAAACACACTCAAATCCTTAGAAGTATACTGAAGGAAGTGAGGGCCATAAAGCCCCTTTGTTCTCCCCCTTCTCTCCCTCTTATGGCAGAATCCAGAGAAGGCAGAATTGGGGTTTTCTATATTTGATGATTAAAGATGAAATATAATTGGATTCTGACACCCAGTACTGGCACCTACCAATTTAAAATGTCTTTTTTAAAAAAAAATATTATTTTTATTAACATTTTCCTTTATACAGTACATATTCAGCAGACTATGTCATTTTTAGATACTATGGATCTACATTCTATACAATATATACACTATGTACATTCAATCTAACTCACAATAACCTAATTTGCACAATAACCTTATGTATATTTCCAATTTTTGTTTCTGTTGTTTATCCAAATATACCAATTTTCCCTAACTGCATAAAATTCCGAATCATCTTTTTCTTTTAATTCTAAGGTGAGTTTGTCCATCTCGGCACATTCATACATTTTCTGAATAATCAACCCCTCTGGTGATATATTGCATTCCTTCCAATATTGCGCGAATGCAATTCTTGCTGCAGTTAGTATATGTAAAATCAGATATCTTATTTTCTTATTAAATTTCTTTTTAAGTATTCCCAGGAGAAATGTTTCCGGATTTAATTCGATTTGATTTTGTTAAGTCTTGTAGCCACCCTTGTATTTTAATCCAATATTTTTTCGCTTCAGGGCACAGCCACCAAGCCTGAAAAAAGGTACCTTGACGAGAATTTGGGCTTCGGATACATTTTGGCTAATCTTGCAGGGGCTAGGTGCCAACGATATAGCATTTTATATTGATTTTCCTTATATGCAGCAGATTTTGTTATTTTGTGATTTTTATTCCAAATTCTTTCCCAATCTTCTAATTCTCTATTTTGCCCTATGTTTTTTGCCTGTGCAATCATTGGTTCTTTCACTATCTCCTCTACTCTTTCAAATTCTAATAAATAGTTATATATTTTGGGTATTAATTCTCCTTCAGGGCCTATCAATAATTTGTCTAATTGTTTTAATTCCATGTCAATTCCATAATCTTCCACATCCTTCTTATACCTAGATTGTAATTGTAAGTATGGCCACCAATCAATAGTTATTCCCTGTTCTTTTAGTAACTTCCCCTGTTTGTCTAAAATTTCCGAATATCTGGGCATTTTGCTTATATCCAATGTCTTAGGATGGATCATTGCCTCCATGGTACATAGCCAGCAGGGAATTTTCCTATAGTGTTCCTTCCTTATATCCTCCCAGGTTCGTAACAGAGCATCTCTTATTTTATATCTATAGAAATATGAGTGTATCCTATTTCCTTTATCCCACATGAAGACATCCACCCCTTTTGTAAATCGTGCCCTTCCAGTGTTAAGATTCTTCTTTTCTTTAAGTTAACCCAAACTCTTATCCAGACCAGAGTTGCTGCCTTGTAATAGAGTTCCCACACTGGAAGTCCAAAGCCACCTCTACTTCTGTTGTCTTGAAGAGAGAGTAATTTTATCCTCACCTTCTTTCCTAACCAAACATAATTTATAATAATTTTATTAAGTTCTCCAAAGAATTTCTTATCTAATAATATGGGAATTGTCTGAAATAAGTATAATAATTTGGGTAGGATGTTCATTTTAATAGTCGCGATCCTATCTAAAAGCGATAGTTGTAATCTCCCCCACTTTTCCAAATCCTTCTTTATTTGTTGGACTAATACCATATAGTTATCCTCCTTTAGGGACGAACATCTCGCAGTCAACCATATCCCTAAATATTTAATTTTTTTGACAATTTGTAAATCCATTTCCTTTTCTAATTCTTTTTTCTGATTTGTTAAGTTTTTAACTATCATTTTGGTTTTCCTTTTGTTAATTTTAAGTCCAGATATTTCCCCATATTTTTCTATTTCTCTTATTAGAATGGGATCTGATTCCAAAGGTTCTTCAATAATAAATACCATATCGTCTGTGAAGGCCTGTGCTTTGTACTCTTCTCTTTTAATTTTTGTTCCCTTTATTTCTCGGTTTGCTCTAATTCTATTTAAAAGTATTTCTAATGTTAGGATAAAGAGAAGTGGCAAAAGTGGGCATCCCTGATGTACCCCCTTGGTTATTTGAAATGTGTTGGTGGTGCCCCCATTTACTATTACCCTAGCCTTCTGGTTCTTATATATTGCCGCTATCATATTTTCAAATTTACTTCCCAGTTCCATAAATCTAATTTGCCTAATCATGAATTGCCAATTTAGATTATCAAAGGCCTTTTGAGCATCCAAAAAAATAAGGGCCGCTTGTTTCTCTGGGTGGGCTTCATAATACTCCAATATGTCTACTATTATTCTTGTATTATCTCTTATTTGTCTATTTGAAAGGAAGCCATTTTGATCCTGGTGTATCATCTCATTCAGTACTCTTTTCAATCTATCTGCTATTATATTCATAAATATTTTGTAGTCTGCATTTAAGAGGGATATTGATCTGTAATTACTGATTTGATTTTTATCTGTACCTTCTTTCGAATCCTCCCTCCACGAATCCGGTATTTTCACTTCATGTAGAGCTTCATTATTCCAACAATATTGGTTCTATAATCTCACTCATATTTTTATAAATTTCCCCTGGGAGGCCGTCCGGTCCTGGTGTCTTATTATTCTTAAAACAATAAGTCTTAAAATCGCCCCTCTCGATTCTTCTGGCGTTATTTCTCTGTTTAGCATTGCCCTTTTCCTCTCCTCTAGTGGTATAATCCCTTCTTCCAACAAATAGTTGTCAATTTTATCCATTGCTATTTCATTTTGTTCATAAAAGTTCACATAATAGTTTTGTACCATTTTCTTTTTTTCTTCTTTATTATTTTGTAGGGTCCCCATCTCATCATATAATTGTTGGATAATCCATCCTTTTTTTTTCCTTCTTCAATTTGTAAGTCAACCATCTTCCAGTTTTATTGGCATGTTCAAAAAAATTGTTTAGAAAATTTTAAATTTCTTGCAATATCTGCTTGTTCTAGTATGTTTAATTTATGTCTGTCAAGTGTCAAAGTTTCTTTAACTAATTAATCTCCTGGTTTTATCTGAAGTTGATTCTCCAATTCTCCAATTTCTTCCTTTAGAATATTATGCTGCTTCCATTTTTCCTTATTTTTCTTTGCCATATAAGCTATTGTTATTCCCCTTATATAAGCTTTCATAGTATCCCATAAGTTTGTTAATGAAGTGTGTTGTTTTTTATTTTCCTTAAAAAAATAATGTCAATTCCTTCATTATTCTTTCAATATATTCCTTTTCTTTTAATATTTGGGGGTTTAATGTCCATCTTTTGAATTTCCCCCTTTGACCTCTCCATTTTATCTCAAGGGGATTATGGTCTCCTCATGTATTTGGGGAGATCTCAATCTTTTCAATTTATATAGCTAATTCCTTATTCATCCACAGCATATCAATTCTAGACCAGGATGCATGGGGGTTGAAATAAAATGTATATTTATTTATTTATTGGATGTATATCTATCAAATTTAGTACATCTATCATTCTAAAAAATGTTTTTGGTAATATATTTCTTCTATTCAAAGTTAGTTTTATCGCTTACGTAATCTGTTTGTAATAGTCCTGGCGATTTCCCTTGCAACCTCTTTGCAGTTGCACATTTTGGGCAGCTGGCCACGTAGCTTTCTATGTCTTTTTTTATGGATGGCCACCAAAATTGCCGTTTAATTAAGTGTAAAGTTTTTACAAATCCAAAATGCCCTGCTGATTTTGTGTCATGGCAAAGCTGCATGAATGTGACTCTTTGGGTTGTTGGTATATATAACTTTTCCCCTACCAAGGCAACCCGTCTCTCATTGTGCACACATTTTTGTTTTTCTGGAACCGTTCATCTGTTTCCAAACTTTTTCTGAATTCAATTCCAGTTTGGCTGTCCAGTTGTGGTTTTAATTTAGCTTGGGTTCTTGTGGTTACTGGTGCTGCCAGTTGTGACTCTGCCATCATTGGTTTAGAGCAGTGGTTCTCAACCTGTGGGTCGGGACCCCATTTCGGGTCGAACGACCATTTCACGGGGGTCACCAAACAATGCAGTCCGCCATTTTTTCCCCTTTTCCTTAGCTGTGCTACTCCCTTTTATTCTATTGGCTTTTGAAAGCCAATAGAATAGACTCTTTTGGATAGAGTCTAATTCTATTGGCTTTCAAAAGCCAATAGGAATTGTCCAGGCTGTCTCTGCCCTGCTGAGCCCGCCAAAAGTTCCATTCTGCAAACGGTGCTGCAAGTTGTCTGCA